AATAAAAGATAAAAATGAAGGGCCTCCTTCAGGGTATGTCTCTGCTGTAACAATAGACAACGTGGGCAGCAGTGTGCAGTTATAAGTCAGTGATTCTCAGTAAGCCAGTCACAGACTTGTGAGATTCAGGCAGATTTCTGGCTGCAAGTCCCAACGTGAGCTCCCTGACCTCCTGCAGGGTTGAACTCTGCCAGGTTCTACTGCAGGTTCCAGCTTTCCCCTGAAGATAGTCCAGATTCCGATGGGAGGTGATGATCCCTTCAACTTAACAAGCACGGTGTTCTGGTGTGCCTTTATTGCAGAGATTCTCTTCACGTTTCCAGTGGACTTCACTTTTCCAGTGGACTTCAGTTTTCATCAGCGAGCCTGAGAGAGGCCTTCTCTCTGTTGTTCACTTCTGCAGCTCAGGACAATGGCCTTTATGTCCCCCTGTGCCTCTGTAGTGTCTATCCAAGTTGCTGTACAGCTAGGAGGGCGAGGTTGGGGTGGCTCTCGTTGTAGGCACCGTGCGGCTAAGCTGGAGGCTGGTGGGCATGCCTCACCGTTTCAGTCTCCTGGTCTTCTGGTAATGTACTTTTAAAAACTCTTCAATGATATGAATATGCAGCAGTATTGAGAACTTCTAATTTAAGATAAATATATTTTAATATCTGTTTCAATCCTGGGAGACACTGTAATGTAATATTCAGGGAGCATGTTAAGAGCTTGAGTTCAGAGGTTGAAATGAAAGATTGTCCAAGATCATGCTCTGCTCTGGTAAGTTACATTTTGTTGCTTCATTACCTTTAAGATGTGGTTGTTGCCTTCCTAATAGATATTTGTGAGAACTGGATGTGAACATTATTTCATAAATAAAGCACTTGGTTAACTCTAGTAGTTACTACCATTTGTTTTAGCAAAATACATTGTTAGGAATTTTAAGTCTGTTCCTCAGGTTTACTTATTGATATAAAGGAAAAGATTCTTAGCAACAGCACAAATAGGAGTACACATCAACATAAAGCAGTCAGCACAATAGACCATCTTGTCATTTTGAAGATATGTAAATAAATCACAGTCAGATCCAGTCTGAATGTACATGACTTGGAAGTTTTACAATGTGTAAATTTCATTTCCAGCATATGATGCTTCTAGGTATGTTGTTACTATACTCTATAATAAATGCAAATAAATGTTCCCAGGTAATATTTTCCACCTGAGCCAGCAGCTCTGTTTCAACACCATCACTCAGAAAATGTGAGCCTGGCAGTGTCCACCTGAGTGTCAAGTGTCTAGATCAATTGCAGTGCAATCTATTTGCCCAAAAGGTCTAAATCAGTATTTAGGTCTAAATCAGGTAGGGCTTGATTATCCATGCTGGCCTTGGGGCAGAAGGAGAGAGAGAAGTTGCTTTATGTTGTTTTCCCTTCTCCCAGTTTAGGCCTATTGGCTATGATTTCAATGGTGTATGTACAGAAAGTCATAAAAACATGTATTTGAAAGTATATAGCTATATAGATCAGCCTTTCCTGAGGTCTTGATTGCAGGGTCCTGTCCGTTTCATGTTGGAATTAAGTGCCCTGTCCATTCTGTTCTTTTATTTATTTTGGGAATTGTTTTAGGGGAGCTGAAATGAGCATTCAACTTCAAGCTTATACTTTAAAAACAACAATTTCCATGCCTTTTGGTAGTAAGTATGGTCAATATAGTATGTAGTTTTCTTCCCAAGCTCACACCTAATTAGTGTATGACTGGTCACTTATTTTTTCTCAGCTCAGTTTTCTCAGCTGAAAAATGATAGAATAGAATATACATATTAATATATACTGTAATGATTACATGAGGTGTTGAAGAATATGTAGATAACATTTATTGAACGTATACAGTACTGTGTTCCCTTCACTGAGTATTTTACATTTTACATGCTCTAAGTGTTAATATGTACTAATCACATTTAGCTGTAAATTTTTTCTCCCTTAAAGGATGATGAAATTGAGGCATGGAGTAGTTAAAATAACTTTCCCAGTTCACACATTTGAAAAGTGAGGAAACTGAGATTTGGGTTTGACTCTAGGCCTGTTCTTGGAACCCTATGCTCTTTGAGTTTTTATAGTGTGCAAATATAGTGGTAAATAATAGCATTTGCTCTTCTTCCTGACTTCCCCTTAAAATTTAAAATCTAAAATAGCATATTGTAGCAACTAGCATCCTGGTATATATAATAAATATTCACTAAATGCTTAATGTCAGACTAATTGTTAAAACAGAGCGGTAGGTGTCTGTATAGAACTACCCTAGTACTGGATTTGCATAGTACTGTTTGCTGATGCTTCACCTGCAGTCGCCTCAGTGACTTCACTTTCCCTTTTTAAGTATTCAAGGCTGTACAGCGAATGCTGTCAGGTGTACTTTCCAACCTTTCTTGTTTATACAAACTTCGCATGTGTGTAAGCTCAGCCAGAAATGGGACTTTGCTCATCATCTTTATCTCTGAATGGCTGGTACTTAGCAGAAATCTAAATGATATTAATGAAAAGAATGAAAGTGGTTCAGTCATCATAAAGCGCTGCTTTGTTCATACTTGCAGTCTCAATGCAGACTCTCCCACTGTTTGGCTCTGCCTATTTCCTTTGTCAGGAGTCCCAGCCCCATCCTCCATGGCATCCTCTGGGGCCTCATGTCCTATTTCTAATTCCAACTCGCCTCTATTTGATGTGTTAAACTTCACAAACAGTCTTTTACAAAAATGATCCTGCTAGGCTGGCACTAATCAGGCTTAGATTTTAGTTGTTTTCCTCATAATGAGAATGGAACTTCATTGATTTTCCCATATTAACATTTTAAGTACTCATTAGTACACTTGGCCAATTTTCACATTAACAAAAGAAAACCCTATTTAGCTGGCACATTAATATATGAATTGAGAGTTTTTGGTTGTTTGTTTTCTGTTTTTTACAAAAAAACTACTGGCAAGTCTAACTTACATTGTATGTGAAGGAGGGTCCTTTTTAATGTTTAAAACTTGGTTTTTCTGTTATACAAATATGTTTTTATTATATGAAGAAGAAAGATTTATTTAACATCTATTAGGTCTAATACTAGAGAAATAATTTTTATTTGTTATTGTGTATGATCTTAAAAACAATTGTGAAAAGAGACAGACTTTAGTGTCAGAATTTGGGTATGAGTGACCTTTCAGCCACTTGCTGAATGATCATGGGGAAATCTCTAGCCTCTCTAAACTTTTCTTACCTGTAAACATATATATGATATGATAACATATATGTAAACATATATATATATAACATATATGATAATATCTTATGGTTGGTATTCCGAGTAGGATTTTATTGCTTCCTTCCCAAACATAAAAGCAACAGTCAAACAGGAATCAAAGTAGTGCAAATGCCATTAGCCATGAGGCATTTGAAACCATTTGAAGTCATGGAAATAATCTCCTTGTCCTATGTTTCTCATGCAATGATCTTAACGTGTATCAACAATGTTGACATACAGACAAAAATAGGAATAAACTAGTTCCATTTCGGTTTGGACCATGAGATATTGTAGTAAAACAGTTTGATAAGAAGAAAGTACTTATCAAAGAAGTTATACAAATTATGATAAAAATAATTATACAATTACTTTAGTATACTAGTAGTATTCAGTATTCCATGTTTCTGTTTTCTGACTAGCAAGAAGAGGGAAATTTACTGTAGACTAGTTAAATAAATAACATATATTTTAGATCAAAATTGCTTGCTTGATATTTTCTTCAAATTTAAGGTTATTTCATTCATGAAACAAGATTTCTTATTTCACGTTTCCTTTAAAGAATTAGATCTATCCATATTGCATAGGTAATGCCACAGTAATAAAAACTTCAAATACCAATGGCTTAAACAAGGTTGTAATTTTCACTCATGCTACACATACTATCATGCGCTGGGGGGTTATTTGCCTCAGCTTGGTCCTTTCTCATAAAACTAGGCCAAGAGAATTCCTATCTCTGTGCTTCTGTAATCACAGGAACAGAGACAAAAAGCACATGGGGAATTGAGCACTAGCTATTATTGCTTCTATAAGAAAATGAGATACAACATTTCTCACATTTCATTGGCCAAGGAGGTTCTCATGACCATGCCTAATTTCAAAGTGATCAGATACAGGGCACTCCTACTATTTGGCTGGAAGCCAGAGAGCCAGAAGTACTTTTTAAACCACTAACAATCTCTCCACAAAGTGTCCTATTATTTACATTTCATATCAAGACCTCAAAAGTAGTATGTAGGACATGACATTTATAAATCTAAAATTGACCGAAAACTTATATTTCTTCTACAATATAATGTTATAACACTACATGAAAATAAGAAAGTTACCTTCAAAAAATTTTTACTCACTGAATCAACAAAGTGCTATTTCTCTTATTTGACAAAATTCAGTAAATGGTTTTACTTTCGTAAGGGGTTAAGAGTTAGAGTTCTTTGAAGGAATAAATGAGAGAGGGGAAATGAGATGCCTGGATAGTTTATAGAAAATGGTATTTAAGTGGATTGTCAGAAATGGTGCACTTATGTCACTTATGAGACTCCGCTTGAAAGTTGTTTTAGAATATTGAATAAGAAAAGCTGTGTTTTCTCCCCTTAGGAAAATATCAACATTGATGAAGCCTCCAGATGCCTGGTGAAGCACATACTTGCAAACGAATGTGACCTAATGGAGTCTATAGAACCAGATATCGTGAAGCCACATCTCGTGTCGCCTAAGGTTGTCAGCTGCTCCAGCTGTGCCAAATCCTAGTAGGCTCCTGTGCTGGCATGTGACAGAAACAAGCCCATGACCCCATGAATTGTGCCTCATGTTTTACCATTTTGAGTAAATGTCAAAATAGGGAAGCACGTGGCAAACCAAAGATCCCTGCCTAAATTTTTCCTGTAAGAGAGAAATAGCAAATGTTCTTTTTATGTTTTCCATACCATCAGCACAGTTTTTACAAGCTTCTAAAATATCTAGTTTGTTACAAAATTCTGTTGAGTTGCTGAGCAAATTTTTGTAGGGCTAGAGTTAGCCCTGATGTTTGCTCCTTTAAATCAGCAAAGGCCTTAGGACTTAAAGAGAAGAGGGGACAGAGTAAACTAGCTGTCAAGTTAAGCACTGGTATTTGCCTTGTCCTGTTGAGTCTTTGTCCAAATTTCAATACATTCTCTGCTGATCTGACAGGCCTATTAAATAGAAATGTTTTTTTCTCCAGTGATGACCTCCATTCTTGGAAGACCTAAGAGTTGTCTATGATTAACTCTTTAGAGTCGTGTACACAGGCTTCCTGTGCCTTTGTTGCCTTCATTGTCATTTGCCATGGCCTGAATGTTGGTTTAACTGAACACAGTATGAAAAGAGCTGCCCCCCATATGTGCCTTTTTTGTTAGCTTTCTCTGAACCAAGCGGTGGGACTCTTCTCTACATGCAATATATATTATATATATTTTCACAAGTGAAAAATAAAACATTAAAAGATGCTGTTTCCCTATTTCTGGAAGTGCTTTAAGTTTCTTAGTACTGTGATTTTTTTTTTTTTTTATCACAGTGTAACTGTGCTTCTCAAGACCCATTTCTCAACTTTATTTCAGAAAGGACATGAGAAATTGAGATGAATCTATTCCATTTACATGTATTCTTTGTATCAGTATGTAGGCCAAGAAGATAAATAGTGTCCATACATTTTTTTCTTAATCAGAGGAACATGTCCTCATAATCAGGAAGGTGCCACAACAATCAGTGTTAAAAGAGACAACCAAAGCATGAATAGTGATGCCTTGTTTTACCAAATGGCTGTGACACTAATGTGCTGCAGAAAGCTACTATTTTTAATGGCATTGTTTTCCACTGATATTCATAGTACCTACCCTAAAGGGAGCTTTATCTTCTGTTACAGAATATTCCCAGTGTTCTACTGACATATTCTTGGCCTCCACTGTTTCTGTAAGCACTGACCACATAGCTTTCTATTCTAATACCATGAGAGCACTCTCTGGTCCCTGGAGTAGTTTGCCCATGAGGTAGAGAGGTCAGGTTTGCCAGGAGTTAATAGGAGGGGTAGAAGGATGAACACCTTGCATTCTTTTTGCCTTAGGACAATTTGAGAGACATCCTGTGGACTTTTTGAGGTCCTGGTGAGATAAGTCCTTGGTTCTCACAAAAGTTATTATCCTATTTGAATTGATCTAAATTGGTTTCCTTTCCTTTCTTCCCTTAACACTCTACTCATTTACTGTTGCTTCTCAGTCCCTCTTCCAAATAAGCTGCATTTATTTAAATCCTGACTCGGTCTTGTTATGAGAGAACCTAATCTGAGTTAGGACAAATCTGGTCCTAGGAAAGAAATCGTCATTATAAGCTTCCTGAATTGAAACATCCACCAGCCCTGTGATATCAAGGACTCCTTACGGATGAATAATGTGGTAGAGCTATAGCACCATAATTACTAAGACTCTCATCAAGTGGGCAAGATAAAGACACAAGGAAATGCCACTACTCTTGAGTTTGAAAGACATGTTAGGGCGGAGTTAGTTACCTGCTGTAGAGTTCCTAAAAAAAATAGGGGGACCATTTCAATACATAAGTATGGGTAGTATTTTGGACAAGACCCCAAAGCACAGGGAATAAAAAGCAAAAATAGACAGATGGGATCATATCTGCACAACAGCAAGAAAAATTATCAAGAGAGTGAAAAGAAAAACTACAGAATGGGAGAAAATATTTGTAAACTATTCATTTGACAAAAGATTAAAGTCCAAAATAATTAATAAAGTCAAAAAACCTCAACAAGCCACATAAAACAATGAAAATGGGCAAATGATATGAATCAGCATTTCTCAAAAACAGCAAAAGAAAGGAATACAAATGGTCAACAATAGTATGAAAAAATGTTCAACGTATTTAACCACAGAGAAATGCAAATAAAATCACCAAGAGACACCATTGGACCCAAGTCAGAATGCCATAAAGACAATAACAAATGCTGGGCAAGATATAGAGAAAAATGAATTCTGTCATGTTGGAGGGAAGGTAAATTAACAATCAAAACTCTAAGAAAAGATGTAGCTATCACAGTTCTAGGTATGTATTCAAAGGAAATGAAACTACCATACAAAAGAGATAATACCACCATATTTATTGCAATACTATTCACAATAGGTAACTGAGGTGTCTATCAATGGATGAATTGATAAAATATACGTATACACAATAGACTACACACACACATGTGCATGCACATACAAAGAAATCTTGTGATTTGTGGCAAAAGAGATGAACTGGAAAATATGTTAAATGAAATAAGTTAGACACAGACAAATACTGCATAGTATCTGAAATGTAGAGAAAAGACTATCTTAAAGTAGAAAAGAGTAGCGTAGTAATTATTAGGTGCTAGGAAGGGTAAGGAGAAAAAGAATTCAGGCAATTTGGATAATGGGCAGTAAACTACAGTTAGATAGGAGGTATATGTTCTGTGTTCTATAGCACAGTAGGGTCATTGTAGTTTGCAATAAAATATTATATATTTAATGAAGGGCTAGAAGAGATGAGCTTGAAGGTTTCAAACATAACAACTGATAAGAGGAAAGGAAAGAAGGGAAAGGAATAAATATGAGAAAAGGAAAAAAATAGAAACAAAGTCTCTGTAAATAGGGAGGGGTGGAGGGGTTGAAGGAAGGGCAAGGGAATGGGGAAAACAATAAGAACCAAGATATATCATGTAAATGTACAAATTCCCAATGATGAATGTCATCATATTGTATACCTAAAATATACCAATAAACAATGAATAAAAATATCCTCTGTGTGTGTGTGTGTGTGTGTGTATATATATATATATAGTGTACTTAAATGACCATTTTCTATATGAACAAAAACATGAATAAGTGTAAAGCAATTCATGATTGAGTACCACAGTATTTCAGAATGAAGCAAGAATACTTCACACTTGGGTTCTAAGAAGACTGAGAATGCTTACGGCTCCTCATTGTTCTAATTAAACTAGATTCAGGTCATTTCAAAGTACATCTAACTTTAGAAAAGTAGAGTAATTATGAAATCTAGGTCAAATTAAGTAGTAGTGTAAATTGGAGAGCTATTAATCTATCTATCCACAGTTGTTTTCTGTTTTCTAGAGTGTTTTTTTCCATGAATACAAAATGATCAGAAAAATATATACACTGTTATTCTTCTCAGGATAGTTCTTTCAAAATGATTCCACCTATGGAGAGTTTTAACTGAGGCATTATTCACTCTGAAAGTCATTTACAGCCAACATGAATTGGAACATGAAGATGACCAATGCCTAAGCAAGGTTGTCACTTATGAACTGGATATGCAGACATTTGTGGTAGTTGTTTTCTGTAGACAAGATTTGACATTTTTAAGATGTTGCTATTTTTTGATGGGAATGACCTTCACATGATAAGGCTAAGTATATTCAGTGCCATATTCTGGATAGATGGAACCAAAAGGTGGAATTGAATTGGCTCCGCTCACTGTAACCTTTAATAATCCACCTAAAAAGGTGCTTCTTGGTACAACTTTAGGTTCTACAAAATGAGAGGTCCTGTTACATCTGCCAGGGAACATTGTAAGGTTTCCATTAACTATACCACTTCTGATGCTGCCTGGTTACTTTCGGCAGCTCATGTTCATAGACCAGCTGTTAGAAAAGGTAGTTACTTCACAGGCAGGGTCATTTATCCTGATAATGAAGGTGGAGATAGGGATGCTGCTAAATAATAGACGGGGAAAATGGAGTATGTTTAGAGGTTTGCCTTCACCAGGGTGCCTCTCCATGCTCTCATGCCTGGTGATAACTGACAGGGAAATTGTATCAACACCTTCTTAAGGGTAAGTAACCTGAGATTCATATTCTCAGGGATAAACGTCTGTTACTGTATCACACAATGAAACTACTTTGGATGCAGTAGGTCAAGGAAATAGAAATTATAAGCAAGGAGGGAAATGATGAATATCAATTAAGATATCAGTTATGATTTCAAGACTAACCATAATGGGGGAGAATGGAGCTCATCCCACTAACTTCTGCTCTAAATATTCTCCTTCTTTCCCTCACTCTTTCTGTCTCTCTTCTCTCTTTTTGGCGTAATACTAGTGACTTTCTTGAACAATCAGTGAAAGGAAAGAGAGGATTTAAGATCCAGCATGAGTGAATCTAGTATGCAAGGTGTGGACTATGGCAGAAGCCCCCTGTCATAGTACACACCAACTCTCCTGAAAAACTTTCTCTGAAGTCACTGAGCATTATTGTATTGCACATTCAACAGGTCAGACTTACAGTTAACATTTCCTAGAGCAACCTCTTCATAAAAGACTGACATAAATTACCAAACAAATAGTCCAGCTTCCTCACCCCCTGAGGTGGGAACAATCTGAGGGTTTTTCCATACACTCCCTCAGATGTCCCCAGTGGGACTAAAGCAAACTTTAAACAGTGGTAAATTCATTTTTACAATATTTTTGCTTTCCTTTGTTTGCCTTTCTCACTTCCTTATTCCTCTGCAAATGCTTCCTCCGATCACCTCTTAGTTAAGAGGCTCTCATTTGTGGTGGAGTTTTAACTGCTACTGGCTCTTCAAACATGAAAGCATCCAACTAGTAACTAAGGAATCTCTAACACACTGCCTTATTTTTTTGTTTTGTTTCGGTTTTTTGAGATGGGGGTCTTGGTCTCTACTCAGGCTGGTCTTGAACTTGTGATCCTCCTGACTCAGCCCCCTAAATATACGGGATGACTGGATCTAACCTTGCTTCTTTTCTTTCTAAGTGTTCTCTGAAATGTGGTCTGGATGTGTTACTAAGATGCCAATGGTCTTCTAACCCTCCTGCCTCAAAGAAAATTGCCATCTATCTAGCTATCATCTATATTCATTATTTCATTGAGCTTCTCAATTCCCAAATATTTATTAAACAATTACTATATTCTTGGCAGTTTGCTAGGCACTCTTGTGGAGATACAAATGACTAAGACATGAACTTAGTTCTTAAGATATTATAAGGGTAGGAAACTGAAACATGAAAAATTCACTGTTTTAAGAGAAAAGGCAAGATATTTTGTTTGAAAATATAATTTGCATATGAATGTAGGAACTATAGCTCCAATCATGCATCAGGAATCAGAATATATATTTCTATCATTTTCTTCCTAGAACACTAGAATCTAGCCATACTAGACAATCTTGTTCAGTCAGCTCTTCCTGATGTCTGGAATGTTCTTTTCTTCTTTTCCTTTTCTCTTTCCCTTTCCTTCCCTCCCCTCCCCTCCCCTCCCCTGCTCTCCTCTCCTCTTCTTTGTTTTCCTTTTGTCTTTATTTTGTGGCCCAAAAATCCTACCTATCCTCAAAGATCAGCACAATGAGAAAATCTGATAGGTTTCCTCATCTTTGTAAACACAGTGAATAACTTCAGAAATCTCACATAGCTACCAACTGGCAAATCAAGGATTCAAACCTAGGAAGCCTGACATCAGTATCCATGTTCCTAAACATTGTGGTAAACAATCTCTTCTTAGATTTCTGGAGAAGAGAATATTCTGAATGCAGAGCACAACTACTCAGCCTAGAATATGATAATAGAGCTACTATACACAATGCACTGCTAAGAAACTCTTTTTAACAACTATGAAAAGTAGTGTTGTCATGAAATAATACATGTAACACTTAGCATAGCGCTTAAAACATAACAAATAATAAAGTTATTAGAGCATCCTGCCTAGTTATTTATTAGATTGAAGTAGTGCAAACAACTGTATGATAAAAATGGCATATATTTTTTGAGGTTTAAAAAATAGTACCATAGAACAAATCCATAGAGATAGCAGGTAGATACATTGCCTAGGCTTGGTGGAATTGGTGGGTAACAGTTGAAACTATGAGATGCTGAAAATGTTTTGGGAATGATGAAAATGTAAAATTAATTGTAATGATGATTGCATAACTTCATGAATATATTAAGATCTATTGAGCGGTGTGATTTACATGGAATATATGGTAGACAAATAAATAATAAAATTGGCTGGGGATTTGGCTCAGTGGTGCTGCCGCCTGCCTGGAAAGTGCAAGGTCCCAAGTTTGAGCCCCGGTCCAAAAAAAAAAAATTCTAAATAATAAAATTATAATAAGAAAAATGTGGAGACAGGAAAAAATCAATATGAAATTGTTGTTTTACCCAGTGACTCAATTTACCACAACTAGAGAATATTGCTCCCGTGTTATACAAGAGAAAGCAACCTTAAGAGGTGCCTTTTTGGGCCAGGGATTAGCTCAGTGGTGCCACCGCCTGCCTCATAAGCGCAAGGTCCTGAGTTCAATCCTTGGTACAAAAGAGGTACAAAAAACAACAAAAAAGGTGCCTTTTTACCATGACTGTTATCTGCCTAGTTAGTCATCGCTTCTAACTTCACAGCTTGCTTTCATATGTTGCAACAAGCATTAGGCATGAGTTTAAATTCAGCTGTATCTAAGCTTCTTTTTTCTGAAAATAATATTTGACTTTCTGGGTTCCCCAAGCAATAGAAAATTCTCCAACATTGTAAGAAAAATAACCTGAGAGGGCTGGGAATTTAGCTCAGTGGTTCCAGCACTTGTCTTGCAAGCACAAGGTCCCGAGTTTGATCCCTGGTACAAAAAAAAAAAAAAAAGAGAAATTCCAATAAAATGTGAGAGTAAAATACCTCTAGGAGCTATATTTACAACTATTTTATCAACTGCATTGACAAGTCTGAAATCTTTCCACCTTCACAAACCAATATATTTTCTTCAATTTGATTTTCAGAATATTAATCCCCAGGAATGGGCATTATATTCTGAAATGCAACATGCTCACTGCAACTGTAATGGTAGACATGAGACTATAAAATTTAAAGTTCCAGATGGCTTAGATTATACTTTCCATTAGAACAAAATTTACCTTCAGAAGAGCTCAAAGAATCTTATGGAAGTGGTTTGTTTTTGAATATCAAATACCAAACAATTGCTACTTGTTGTAACACAATACAATGTTTTCCATTTTGTCCTGAACTGAACTTATAAAAATTACCTTATGCCAGATTGTAACATCAATCAATCTGTATTTTTTGAACTCCTTAATCAAATAGCTATCAAGTTGCTACTCTGAACAAGTTGCTGTGTTTGACACATTGTATAGGTCACATGTCAAGGTCTCTAGCAAAATATATTGTGCTTAATATACGTTGGATTTTTTTCCTCTGTGATAGTGTTGTCATGGAAACATGAGGAATAAAAAGTCAAGGTTCTCTGCTCTGTAAGCTTGGAATTTCCTCGGAGGAAGGGAAGTGTGTTAATAAGAGAGGCAAATGATACAACTGAAGATAAAGAAAAGAAGATTTATTTTTGTTTTACTACATGGCATTCTTCATTTTATTTTATCTTTATAATATGTATTAGTAGTTGTCATTTATTGCTAGATTTTATATTACACTTTCAAACATAACACCATTTCATTTAATCATCAGTACTACTCCACAGAGAAGGGGAATTTAAAATTTTATACATAATAAAACAGGCTTTAAAGGAATGTCTATATGTATGACATGATTTTTGCAGAATTTCTAGTCAGTGTCTCTTTTATGGCCACAACAGGCTAATC